CACAGGCTTCCACAGTTGAAAAGCTAGAAGTACTGTTAACTGAGTACTTTGGCCTCTCCGGCTGCCTACGGACATGGGGTTTCTAAAGTTTCTCAAAGACCAGCTTCTCAAAATCAAGCTGACTGTCACTACAAGTGTGCTTTTAGGGCAGTTTTTTCCCTATAAAACTGAAAGATTAAAATTTACAAAGGTCATCGGCTGAAAAGTAACCTCCTTCACTTTTCTTTGGCTTACAGACACAGCTTAAAGGCAACACCTGGCTTGGAAAGATGGCAGAAAGTCACCTTGGAGTCTGCAAGGAGGGACAGAATTGAGCTTTTCCAGGCTACCAGGTATACACTGCAAAGGCCACCACTGGTGGACAGGAAACAAGAGCCTGTTTCTGGGGAGTTGCTGCTACTTCAAGACATTCTCAGTAAACCTCCCCAGAAGATAAGGAAGAAGAAGCATAGATTAACTGATGACACAGTCAGGGAAGAGTGTCATGACCTATAGGGTTACCTGGTCTGCAGGTAAAAGGCAGGTCCTCAGAGACCATTTAGGAAGTTGAACATCTGTAGAGGACAGAGTGAGGAGGAAAAGATGACTCTGAGGAGCCAGTTGTGTTACCTATAGGTTATGCCACAGGCTAGGAGTAGGAAGGTGTGTAGACTAGCTTTGGACAGGTTCCTGTTTGTACTCGGTTTAATTTTGCAGTATTAGTGTATTATCAATAGTTTCATGTTGATATATTTAGTATAAAAACCTCTTTTTTGTTTTTCTTCTCACTTGAAGACAATCTCAGCAATGTTGGCACCAACCATTACACCTTTGAAGTTCAGTGCAGCCTGGGGAGCTGCTAGGGGCTGCCTGTCTCTGAAGGGTGCATTGCAGGTTCCCACACCACGCTCGTCCGTACTCTCCGAGGGCACGGGGCGAGCGCAGCATCCCTGCCCGTGTGCCACGGTGCGGCTGTGTCACTGGAGGAGCCGTCTGGGCCATGGGGACTGTCCTTCCTTTAAACCTCTTAACGCACACAGAAGCCGTAAGGCTCCTGGAAGGGCAAAGCAGCTTAAAGAAAGCAATGGCAGGGTGAGAGCATCCTCAAGAGCTGGGGAACTCCCTGAGACGTTTCTCTGCCCTGGACTCGAGAGCTGGAGGTAAGAGCCAGCCCGACCAGCCTCCGCTCAGCTGGTCACCCCGACTATTGTCACTTCTCCTTCAGTGCTTTTACTAAACTTTCCAAGTCTCTCAGACATGAAAATAATTGACCTTTACAGTTACATTTGAGTTGGCTATATTGCCATCAGCTCTTGCTAGTCTTCACTACTCAGATCACATTTACTTAATGGCATGTGAATTAATTTGTTGGAAGCTGACACTTCACCGCAGGATTAGTTAGTGACTCTAACGTGGGGCTGGTGCACAAAAGGTAAGATGCAGAGCATATTTGGGGGGAAAAAAAATAGGAGAGAAATTCCAGTGGTCTTGGAAATCTTCACTTTTAGAATGCTCTGACTGCAGTAATGAATGAGCTGAAGAAAAATAAACTCAATTCCAGCTATTTAAAGGTTCAGCAATTCCTTCCAGGAGAAAAACAAGCAACTATTGTGTGCCTGGGCTGGGAGGGCTGGGAGGGCTGGGAGGGCTGGGCTACAGGCAGCGTTTCCCACAGGCAAATTAGGAATGGGAAAACCAGAACAAAACCCGCAAGCCCCAGAAGCTCGAGTGGGGAACACAAGCCATTTTGTTTGACATGATTTGTGTTGTCATTAGGTGGGTTTAATGGGGCTTTATTCTTATTCTGAGAGGAAAGCTGGGCTTTGCTTGAGATAACAGCAATGACTGTTCAGACCTGGGAAACGTGAAGGAGCCGGACAAAACCGCATTTGCCGTGTCACTCAGGCACTCACTGGGAACAGGGGGTCTCCTCCTCCCCGCTGTCCCTCGCTGGCAGTGGAGGCTGGTCACGTTTTGCTACAGCCCGACAGAAACTCGCCTGTGCTGTTTGGCCAGGGCGGGGTCTGGCTCACGTCATTTCTCTGACTGTGAAGGAAAACCCGTATCAGCTGCCACCAGCCACGCTGGCACCAGGCCTGAACCCCACAAAAGGCGTGTTTGAACCCCGCATGCTACGGCCCCACAGTCGCCTGGGGCAGAAGATGAGGCTGGCATCATGGCTGCAGGAAAGGCTTTTCTCATCTGAGATGTCTTGAACCCCTTCCTAACCCCCCTCCCAAGCCATGGTGAGCTCTTGCAGGAATGGTTCAGCAACACAGCCATGGCTTTTTGAAAGCCCAGTATTTGGGCACCTTGTTCAGGATGTGTAAAGGTGAAAGAGGATGAAGAAGTAAAAAAAGGCTCCCTGAAAGGAAATCTTGAGTTGAAACCCGTTAACTTAGTTTGAACAGTCCCCATGGGGCACAGGTGAAGCCCCTCTCTTTCAGCCTTGTTGGCTTCATTCAGAAGACACTAAGAGGGATTTCTCTCACACAACTGCACGGGGTAGAAGCAGCACAGCAGGTACTCGGCAAGTGCAGCAGGCCTTCTGCTTTGAGGATTGCAGGATACGAGAACCACTGGCCACCCATCTTCCACCTGTGGAAAGAGCAGTGTTACCTTAGCTCTGCTTGTCCCAGACCGCTGCTCAGAGGTGGGCAGAGATGGAGAGCCGGTCTGGTGTGAGTAGTGTCCCTCTCTGAGGAGACCCAGAGATACATGTAGCCCTTTACCGTCCCCAAAGCAAGCTAAAACTGTGCCAGTGCAGGAATCTCTTTATGATTTCTTTATGGCTAGATCCTGGTTTAGTTTGAGATGGGCTAATGTTAGTGGACCAGATCATGTGAGAAATACAGGATTCCTACTCTAGACCTGTAGGAATCAGAGTCACTGGTGGAGTAGAGCTGCTTTCTCAAAGCAATGTCATGGGCCTTCCTAACAAGTTGTTACACTGAAAAGTTTGTTGAAGTGTTTTTATGGTCTGATTTAGATCAAACCAAAAGGTATCAGAGAAAGCCAGAACTGTCCAATAGCCATTTTCATTGCATTTTATGAAGCACTGTGAAAGAAAATATCTCTGTAGCGGCAGTGATAGGACTGCGGTGCCTTTAGCCATAAAAAAGCTTTGCCTGTTGAAAAGCTGTTCTGATGGCATTCCAACATAAACCCTGGACACCTGAAAAACCCGTTTAAGAAATTTAATTTGAAACATTTCTGTTTTCAAGAACAGTTCAGTTAAACTCAGCTATTCACTCATTAACAAACAATGTGATACATATTTCTTGTGTATTGATTGCCTTCCTAGAAGCAGACAGGCACTCTTGGCCATCGGATGCCACAAGTAAATTTATCTGGAATTCACAGAGTTTTAACTGATGAATTCTGTCAAAGTTGTTGCGTTTCCTCTCAGTTGGATACAAATTCCTCAAACTCTCTTGCAGCTTTGCTAGTGATTAGGGTCCGGCAGCAGTCAGCAGAGGGAACGCATCTCTATCTTGGCAGCTTCTCCGGCAAGTCACATCTTCATTAGCAGAGCACAGAGATGCCAGGCTCAGCACGCAAAGCATGACAAAGCACATCCCCTTCCCAGCTGTGGGGCGAGAGGGGCAGGGCAGCACCAGCTCTGACAGCCACAGAGAGCACTCCAATTTGTCAGTGCCCCGAATGTGCGGAGAAGTATCGATCCTGTCACAACACGTGCGCTCATCTGCGTTTTGCAAAGTCCAGAGGCAACACCACTGGGTGCTGGCAGAGCCCATCCTCAAGGGCTGCTGCCAGCTCCATGCCCGAGCTTGTGATGTTTGGGGAACTGGCCTTGCGGGCTGGCTCACTGCGCAGCTGCCCCACAGCACCCCACAGCCAGTACGGCCGCGAGGAGCAGCCAGCCCTGCTGCCCAGAGCAACCACAGCTTCAGGCAGAGGTACCACCACCCCACGGAACTGTGCAGGGGGTCAGGCTGCCACCCAACTGCTGAACTGCCCCGTCCAGGAAACAGCTCAGCAGCTTTTTAATTAAACAGCCAGGGGAGTTCCTCCTGTCTGGGTCAGCACTGGGCCGTGCCACCAGCAGCACTGCCACTGGCAGCATGGCCACAGCACAGGGGGTGGTGGCTCAGGCTGGTGTTGCCCTTGGTACTTTACCACAGTCTGAGTACTAATGCTGTGCTCAAAGGAACCAGCAAGGCGCAGACGTGACAGGCCCCACACGCCTTGTGGCTGCTTAGTCTGGTGTAAATCCAGGCTACAGATAGAATCACAGAACGGTCGGGGTTGGAAGGGACCTCAGGAGATCATCTAGTCCAACCTCCCTGCCAAAGCAGGTTCCCTGCAGCAGGTTGCACAGGAAAGTGTCCAGGTGGGTTTTTAGTATCTCCAGAGAAGGAGACTCCACAACCTCTCTGGGCAGCCTGTTCCAGTGCTCTGTCACCTCACAGTAAAGAAGTTTTTCCTTAAGTTGGTATGGAACTTTAGGTGTTCCACTTTTTTGCCCATTGCCCCATGTCCTGTCACTGGGTACTACTGAAAAGAGCCCGGCCCCATCCATTTGTCCCCCACACTTCAGGTATTTATAGATGTTGATAAGATCCCCTCTCAGTCTTCTCTTCCCCAGGCTGAAGAGTCCCAGCTCTCAGCCTTTCCTCACATGGCAGATGCTCCAGGCCCCTCATCATCTCTGTGGCCCTAGGAGGCAACTTGTAGAATATGGCAGACAGTATCTGCAATGTATCCCAAGCATATCCCAAGTGTCTGACACCCCAACAGCTGTAGTTAGCACACCAAATCTGAAAACATTTTAAATTTAGTCTATTGAAAACTAGTGGCTCTTTATAATAATGCCTCAGCCAAACCAAACTGCAGCTCCCGATGCTCATGCCAGAATATAGCCTATACCTTAGCTACAGGAAACCCTTGGAAAGTTTTACCATCCTTTGAAAGCATCTTTCAAAACCAGTGGCACTGACCAAACAAGCTGTAGGTACCAGGGGAATAACACACAGAGCCAATTGTCTTTTTTTTTTTTAATAAAAGTATTTTTAATAAACTGATGGATTTAAGTTTCAGATGCTAGACAACTTGTTGCCGTGTACAGGTAACAAAAGTCAAAATTCTTTGAATTTTATACAAATACTATGTAGTACAGTAAACTTGAATACAAGTTTACAAAAAATGCATCAGTGAATATTCAGCTTGTAACCAACTTCCAACAGTGAAAATTATCATGTATCAATAGTGATCAGAATTGCATTGCAAATTTTAGAAGTAATGCAACTATGTTTTTACCAAGCCACTCTGAAGTTACCGGTGCACACTGACAGTACATTGGATTTTTTTTTTTTTGGCTTGCTGAACAGAAAATGGCATTTAAATAAAATGACTTTGAGTTAAAGAATATAATACGTATCAAAAGTACTATCTTACAGAAAATTAAACAAGAATGAGAAAGTAAACAGAGCAGAACCCTGAAGTAGTGATATTTTTCTACCCGTTTTGATGGAAAAGACTCCACAGGTGTCCAGCTTTCTCACAGCATTTTGGAGTGTCTGGTCCTAGCACAGTGTGGTCGTTAGTAGACTAAAGTAATCCCTGCTTGGCAGTAATGCTGGTGAAAGGTAACTTGCTCTATTGCTAACAAATCGGAGTAACCACTGGCAGGGTGACTTCTTGGAGGCATCCAGTGGAGGCTGAGTGGACAGCACACGATTGAAGCTGCTCTGATACAATACCCAACCGCCTTCAGGGTTCAGGTGTCAGTTTCCTCATAGGATTTACAAATGGATGGTTTTGAAACAACAACAACAACAAAAAGGGAGCATAAGACAGTATTTTCACCTGTACAGCTACCAATAAAATGAATGTTTTTGTTACAAACTTTCCAGTCTGCTTTATAAAAAATAGTCTTAGTTTTACTTCTAAATAAAAACTGTGCTGTGATCTGTCATGTTCTTGCATTGTACATGCTGCAGTTGTGTGTGTTAATGAAGGTGTAGAGATTGGTGACCTAGCGCTCTGGAGATGTCAGAAGCCTAAAAAGCTGATTTTGGTACATAAAAGTTAGGTAGCAATGAAAATTCATTCTATTTATTTTTCCTAAAACCTAGGAAAAGCTACAGTACATTGCTAGATCAGTGGCCTCAACCCTGAGCTGAAATAAAGGACCTGCCTTGGCCAAGAGACTTAACTACCACAGCTGCACAGCAGAGACAAAATAACCTGTCTGTGGCCTGTTGTCTTAGATGTAAGTAGTGTGAGATCCAGTTCTGTAACGCTTGAGAGTTGACTGGAGACCACTGTATTCATTTTCACTACAGGAAAAAAAGGAGAACTCAATTCAGAGATTCAAGTGAAAAAGCACTCGATGGGGAGAGTCAGTATGTCCAGCTTCTGGAGACCAAAGACAGAATGTAGTTCGTGGTAGACCCGTCAGTCTTAAGTGTTTTCCACTTGGTAGAAGAGATTATTAAAACACATACCAAACTACAGTCAGAGACTTCTACTATTACCCCACTCTTTCTAGAAAGTGTCTCACTTGATTTTTCCCCTCAAAACTGAGCGTCTCTCTCTCTCTCTGTACCTACACTGCAGCAGAGAGGATGAATGAAAAGTTAGAGACTGTCTGACACAGGATTCCACCCAGCTGCTAGCAAAAAAACTTCTGCTTGTTTCCAACATGAGTCGGAGTTGGCGATGATAAGAATTCTTACTAGGACAGAGCCTACTGCACCTTCCTGTAGGGTTCAATGGCACCGACTTCCCGTGGCCAGGAGCATTCATCTCGTCTTCGCATTCTCACCTCCTAAGAGGATTTTTTTTTTCCTTTTAAACAGCAGAAACTGTAGAGTCAGTATTTCACTTAATGGAAAAACTAAACCCAGCAACAGACTGAAAATAAAGCTTATAAGGATCATTTATACTTCTAGTAATGCACACTGTGTGAGCTGATCAGTTTACGGATGGTATGTTTTTTGTCAGTTTAAGGCAGCAAGTCTTACAACATACACAAGCTCACCTCCCTCACGTTTGTGCTACTGTATCCTTATGTGCACAATAGAACCTCACTAATTTACACTAATGACTGGAAGAACCATTAATTCTCTTGGTAAGCGAACAAGAATAAGGCATTCCATTATATATTCTGATCACTAATTATAATTTATCTGTAATTATAATCTACCAGCAAACATACTTCTGTGTTTTAGAAAATAATATCTCTTACCTTCAGATATAATTATGTGTGCAGATTAGTGGGTTCTGCTGTGTAAACACGCAGGTGCCTAAGCAATTTTCAGGTTTTTCTTCATTACATCTGACAAGAAAGTTAATGCCACAGATAGACACTGTGGGAAAATAAATTAGGATTTCTCTATAACTTGTGCACAACTGGGCAGTAATTTATAGCTAAAAAAAACATGAATGTTTACGAATGCAAATGAAGCAAAATCAGCAGCAGAAAGCAAGGCCATTCCCCAACCATAAATGGCTTGTATTACACTATTCCAAACTATATGAAACAAACAAACAAACAAACAAAAAAGAATACAAGTACTAACTCTTATATACAAATTTGATATCAAGTAAAGCAAATAGTGAAAAGTTTGTTGATGCTTCTAACAGATGATATTCGCACGTATAAATCCTGGCTGAAGTAGACTGTAAATACAGACAGAAGATAGGATGCAAACTACATGGCTGAGTTAAAAAAAAAGGGGGGGGAAATCAATGTGCATTGCAATGAGATAGAAATTTCCCTTCACATGTGCAAAAGTCCACAGTTTCATTAATGCAGAGGTCATACTTCTAGAAACAGATCTTGGACAAACCCAGTCTGCCTACGTCCTGGAATCTACCTGTTTACATCAGCCACTTTAAGTGCACAGTACCCTGTTCACATATGTACTATTCAGCAGTTTCTGGCATTTCTCAGAAATTTAATGTTCACCTGCCTTAAATCTTGAAAACAAAGGGGAGAGTTCATCCAGGGCATCACACCACTGCTTTTGAGTTATACCAACACTTAAATCATCTCAAACGCTCTCTTCTTCCATGGTGGCAGGAGTCCTTACAGGACTTGTAAACAGCAGTACACAATACTGTAAACAAATAATTTAAGTTCTGCTTTATACAAGATGTTAAGTTAACCCAGGTCTACCAAACAGGTGAAAATGAAAAGGGTGGCTTCACACAAAATCCTTCCCTTTTCTCCCAGCAATTCTTTTCACTACATAAATAATCCTGAGCTGAAACAGGAGTTGTTGACAAGAGCCTTTTTTGCATATAAAAACAATGTTCTAGAGTCAGCTCTCATGTTCTGTCAGGAAGTCAGTTGCTGGAGAGATTAAACTGAAGTATTTCAAACCATTTGTTACTTTGGAGAAGGACTTAGAATTTGGTGTGGCGACCAGTTCTAGACCCTGATGCTGAGCTTGCCAAGGAAGCTGATGCTGCTGCATCCTCAGCTTCCTCCAGCTCCTCGTGTAGCTCCTGGCTAACGCTGGACTGGAGGGCTGCAGGAGTTAGCCACTCCTTCGGCAGACAGCTCTGGAGAAATGGAATACAAGAGCTGAAGTAAGCAAGGCGATTCACCCATCGTGGAATCTCTTTTCCACACAGAATCTAGGGGGGAAGGGAAAAGAAAGGATTAATTTGTCTTCTGGATTCAGCGGTAACAAAACTACAGTACTGTAAATAAAAAGCAAAGGCTGCTGCAGCCTTCTTGTGATTTATGTCAAGAAACACCGGTCAAGAGGCACTCAAGTTAGTTGCACTGAGAGAACTTTATCAGTAAAAGCAGCATCCCAAGTCACACTAGGAGACTTGTTTTCCCCGGTGAGAGTTTGACACATGGTCCTACACTTTTTTTTTTTAGAAGTCCTGAAAAGCCTAACCACCTCACTCTGTTTGAATAACTTCTGTAAAAGGCAGAGAAATGAGGTAAGGTATGCTTTCTAGTCACTGCTAATTCCCCAGAAACAGAAACTGCAAGAGAAATCTCCCTATTATAAAAAAGCACCCTGAAATCAAGCGGTCAGGAAGACGGTGCCAATACTACAGTTACGTGGAGTCATGCAAACAGCTGTGGCTATTTACTGTGTCGGCCTCTGATGACCTTGCACAAGACACCACTATCTTACAGCGCACAGGCCAAGCACACACACACACACACACACACACACACACACACTTAGGTTCACCAGAACAAGAGAAGCTATAGGAGGCAAACCTGGTTTCAACTCCTCGGGGAAAAAAAAAAAAAAGCTTCATTAAATACTTGTTTTTAGTGTACATGAGTCATTAAATGGTTTTGTTGTCACTGTTCAAGGAGTGAGCTATTTTACCCAACAGCCTCCGTATTTGCTTCTGGTATTAGTTACACCAGCGCAGACCTGGAGAAAAGGACAGCTGATGGGAGCATGGCTCTGCGGTAAGTGAGCAGCATTTAACTTGTAATTATATCCCTGTTTTTATAGTCAATTTGAACACTAAATAGGACAAGACAGAAAATGGGAACAACATGACCATGCAGTTGAAGAATACGGTAAAAACTTGGCCATATAGGCCAGATTTCAGGGCAACTGCAGCTTTGTCACTGTCTCACCCTACTTACTTGTACCAGCCTTGCACATGAATCATCTCAAAAAAATTTTCCAGTACCACTGGAAGATCAAAGAGTCTACACAAAACACAGGACATAAAATCAGTGTGCCATTCACTATTCTGAAAAAAAGAACAATTTAATTTTATGGAAGTTCACCATGGGAAAAACAGCCACCCCTTTTTTGGAGTACTTCAATGAAACACCAGAACAAATTCTGACAAGTGCAAATTGCCAACTACCGATAAAAATCACAGCTGCCATTCCCCTCTTTGTCCTGGGTTAGTTGTTCCTGACCCTCTCCCTTGTGCTGATACACATGTGAGTGATCAGGCATTCAATCATATTGGCAACCCAATCATGTTAAAATAAAGCTGCAGAAGCAAAGCCCATTCAGCTCCACAGTCAGATACTTTGCATGACCACTCGGGTATCTACATGACCAGGACACAGGTGCTGGCAGAGCAGTAACTTGACAAAAGCCTCTCAAGCAGAAGATTAACATTGTCTGTGAAACTTCAAGGCCTTTGTTATTCTTTAACAGTAGGTTAAAAATTATTTTCAGTGTGATGGCTCCGTGGTGAAATACTGATAAAAATAACACGTCGTTCGATCTTCACTAGTGATCTCTGAAGCATCTGAAATGATTTTGAAATCCTGCTAATACTTTATTTACTAGGTCTCTCAAGTGGGAATGCACCCCTGCTCAGACACAAACTACATGTCAAAACAGTATTTAGTATTTTGGCAGCAAAATCTTGTGCTTTGGACATAAGCACAAATAAAACCTGAAAAACAGTGACATTTGCCCAAGGTAACAGAGATAGGAAGCTGGAAATTAGGCCAAACATTCCAAAGGACAGGAAGGAGATGACACTCTGCAGCCACTTGGGAAGCACCTTTCTACAAACCTTCATGTTCGTTTACCTCAGATAAAGCTGAAGAAAAGTGATTGCAGTTTTTGTGCATTAGATGATAAGCATTTCCTTTGAATTCTTTTCCAAGCTCTTCTACTATTTTTTCTACGTCATCTTCCATAAAGTCAGTGCTGCCTAGAACCACAGCCTCTCTAGAAGGGAAACAGAGAGAGTACAAAGTGATCAGGCTTCCATGATACAGGTGGATTACTGTTCACACATTGCTCAAAAGTCACCCCACTGTGGATAGTGAGATCCTTCTGCCCTCCTAGAATAACATAAGATTCTTTCTATTCCATTTTACAGCACCACTTTCATCTTTATCATAAGAGATTATTTCCTTGCTGATTATCCACCTGTAGCTCACTGAAGTTCTTTGCAACTTAATTCCAACAAACGCTGGATGCATTCTTCCCCTCCTCTCCAAAGGATATTGTTTCTAAGAGACAGCTGAGAACAGGTAAGCGCTTGTAATGCAGGGAAGGGTCAAGGCAATCACACTGAGAAAGTGGAAAAGAGACAAGGGGAAACTTTCAAGAGCAACATTTTTCAGCTTTTTCTTTGAATAAAAATTTCACTACCTTGGAAAAGTCACCCCGTTGTATACACTGTATGAATAACAAAAGCTAGCCACGAGTCCAGAGAATTTGTACACATTTAAGGAACTTAATGGTATGCTAAAAATAATGTTCTTCGCTGCAGACACTTCACTGTCACATCACCTCTGTCCACCTTTCTTTTCTAAGTAAAGAAAACACTAATTTCTCAGAAAGTCAGAAATCCTGTAGTATCTTCCAACACATCTATCCTCAAAAATAAACGCAACAAGTTGTCTTTTTAATGTGCCTTCTCCAAAGCAAGAAAACAGGTATCTTTCTTACTTAAATTTAAATGTTTCTCCGAGCTCAGAAGCATTTCCTGGTGAAATTTCAAATATTCCAGAAAAAGGGTATGGATGACCACCATAGGCAAATTCTGAAAGAGAAAGCTCAGATTTAACACAGATGGCACACAACAACAGTAAAGAACAACAAACCTCACTGACCAGAAGATCACTTCACAAGGATCTAAAGCTAGAAACCAGACATCTTACTCACATGGGTAACAAATGGAAGGAGCTGGAAATTAATAGTTTTGGTAGTTTTTAGTCAACCTAAGTAAAAACTGATGGCAAATTTTCTACAGCAGTGTACAGGTTGAACTGAATAGCTTCACAGTAAGTATGTATTCTTTCCATTGTATAAGTGAGGATTTACAAGTTAAATGGTAAATCCTAACAATGTTCTTTATACATGCTTGTCTTTAAAAGTCCACTTACATATTTATAAATTAGGGATTCAAAGGTCTCCAAGGTCTGATGGCACTCGTATTCAGTGCACGCTACAGCTCTAAGTGTGGCAGCAAGTAGTTGTTTGTTTTTTTAATTTCTTGATTTACAAGAGTTCAACTGCCCCGAGTTCTTTACTACAACAAGAAAGTAAACGAGTGCATACATCTGAAGTCTGCACATAGCATCTGCTAGCATAAGCACTTACAGTACATGAAAATACCATGGTGTGCTTTAGCTTCCTTCTGTGTCTGTAAGATAACACAGCATGCCACACCCAGAGCACAATAAAGAGCTTTAAGCATGACTTCAAGCTTCCTTACTGCAAAACTCGTAACACATCCTCCAGGTCTAGCACTCAGTTTTACGGATAATCTTTTTTACAACAGGTTAACAAATGAAGTAGTTTGAGGTACTATAAAAAAAGGAAGTCATTGTTCTAGCAGGGGTATGGCCTGCTATATGAGAAAGCTGTTATAATCTGAACAGGAAGGGAGGCACATGTATTTGGCACAGCTCAAGAACTGGGTTTCAGGCACAGCACTATTAAGAGGCAGGTCTTTCTGGTTTGGATTAAAAGAAATAAACAAAAAAATTGTCAGTTTGTTGCTTTGATAACACTTGCAAATCCAGTTACAATGTCACCACTATAGTAGCTGAAACATCTACAGTTCAAGGTAACTTTGCACAATGTGCTCTTTGGACTGCATGCCACACCTGCTGCGGCTTTTGCTCACCTCCAAGCACATTCCAAAAAAAAAAAAACCAAAAAAAAAAACCTGAAGCAGGTCTTTCTGCTTTAAATGCACGACTTTTAGCAACACCATCATCTCAGAGCATCGTTCTACTGCTGGGCAGGAGCAGCTCAGACCTGAGCCTGTGTTGCAGCATGCTCAGAAACACCTTCTGGCAGCGATGGGGATTCAAAGTGGCCTGAACAGACCAGGAAGCTGCACCCCCAAAGTACAACCTATTTATCAACATGGGAATGTATTGCTGTATTTATCACAAGTGATCTTTTGTAAGCAGTATGCATGAGATGCCTTTTAAAGAAACTGCCCCTTTGAAACAAACCAACCTACCAATAAGCAATAGACAGTTTCGTTTGGTTGGTTTTTTTTCTGAGCATCATGCACTTTTAGGTGCCCACCTGCACCAGACTATTGTTTCTGTAGTTAAAAATTAACTCCTTGCATTAAGTGCTGGCAGAATACTGAGGAAACACGACTCAACCATGCTTACATGAAGCATACACAAGCTTTAATAACAGGCATTTCAAAACTTAAAATAAGGATTTATATGCCTAGCTGAATAAATTGCACACTTTTACACAAGAGTGCAAGATGACTACTGGATTATTCATACCCAAGGTTTTTTGCAGAGGCGGAAGAGATGAGAACTTAAGAGAAAACTGATTAACAGGTTTCAGGAGACAGACCTCCCTCACTAGCTGGAAAATGTTTTTTAAGTAACAGCATCACCAGAACAAAGAGTAAGTTACGTTTTGCTTGTACGTACCTCGGCCATACACCTCTATACCTGAATGGAACACTCCAATTCCAAGGGAAGAAGTATATTCATTCATCCAATACTAAAAGGAAAGAAGAAAACAAAAATTTTAGTTAGTTTCCAATACAGATTTGTCTTCTGACAGCAGACTGACATGTATTTGACCCCCACATCAAAAGCACAAAACCCTACCACAAAGTGAAACTGCACCACCCATTTCATGGGAACACAACATGCCATTAACAATTCCCCAGCTGTACACCCTGAATTAATTCCATCAGGTTCTACTCCAGTGCTTTAGTGCTGTCAATGTCTGTCAGCCAAGGAGAGATCCAGATCAACTTTTGATTTGTCAACAAGTTACAAGTGGGAGGTTTTCCATCAGGTGGAACACATTCTAGAACCAGTGGCAGTAATTTCACAGGAGCACTTTTTCTTTTTTAAAGTAACATCAGAATTTAGGACTGTAATGTACACACATCAACTGTCATTTATAGCAGTGACCACACTTGCCAGATGAGCACGAAACACCCTCAGAGACAGGCAAGATGGACTGAAATTACCCTAGTATATTTTCTCTTTGAATACTCAGTTGATGGTCACCACAGAAGAGACTAAGCTCTCTCCAGGCTCCTGATGTATGTGTCTCCATACATCAGGTGTAAGTCTTTTGCACAGGTCTAACACCTGTTTCCAATATATCACCTCTATCATAGCCAACAGATAATAGCTGCATTTCAAAAGGAAACCAGGGAGTGATAATTAAAAAAAAGGGGGAAAAGAAAAAAACCTTCCTTTAGTGCTTTCTCTTGTCTTTTTCAAAAGTAGCAGTGAGCGTCTATCAGGAGCTAAATGTTACCCTCAAAACCTTAAAGATGCACAGAGCTCTGGAAAGGGAAACCCTCAAAATTACTGTCTTTCCTTAGCTACATCACCACCCTCAAAATATCAGCTTCCAAGCAGTAAAAATTTTCAAGTGACACATAGTTTAAATAGGAACCCCAGAAAAAGGAGGAAAGGAAAGGAAAGGAAAGGAAAGGAAAGGAAAGGAAAGGAAAGGAAAGGAAAGGAAAGGAAAGGAAAGGAAAGGAAAGGAAAGGAAAGGAGCCTCAGTTGTGTCCTTAAAACTGAAATTGGCTAGCAAGAAAAATCTCTCAAAAATATAAGGAAAACATTATTTTGGCAATTACTCCAGTGGTGGGATATTTCCTCCCAGGTCACCTGGTCCCAAAGAGCACTGCTGTGAATTTCTGCAAAGCAGATTTCAAAAAGTCAGCTGGCAGGCGGGATACAGACTGAGGTAGTACCCCCAGCAAATCAGCATTTGTTTAGCAGACAGGAAGAAAAAGAAGCTATCTCCTTTACAGGACCTGTTGACATAATAAGTGCTTTCTGGTGTGAAGTCACTATTAAAACAGCAAAAATTAGCGGGGCTCATTGACAGAGCT